GCAGCAGCTCTATGGAGAGACTCAGAGTGCCCCTAAGTGAGGATAGAATGATGGCTTTCTTCCTGTTTTCATTGTAAAAGGATACTTTTTTTAAAAAAAGAAAAGGTAAAGTCATGACTCTCAAACAGATATAAAGTGAACAAGTGATAGACTTATTTAAGCTTGTTATTTAAAGCAGTGGTTCTGATCAGTTCAAAGAAGCCAAGAAGCAACATGTTTATCTGCAATCAAGGAATGTGAGGAGATTGTGCAAAGAGAGCAGAACTGGATTTTCCAGGGGAGAGATGATTGGCTTCCATGGAACTGGATTCATTTTCATATCTACAGAGAATAAATGTGCATTGCTATCAGTTCTTTATATCCTGCTATAAAACAGAATGTAGAGTTGTAGGGACGGTCTTTGAAACTGGGTAACCCACTGACTCCTAGGGCTCATTTTCCTTATCCAGGGGCAAAGCTGACACTGTTGCCAGCTGACCAGTCAAGAGGGTGGTTGTAAGCATTAATGGGATCATGCTTTTAAGTTACTACAGTGGCCAGCACCTAATAAGAATTTAATAGATTATCAGCTACTGACACTGTTGTCCTTATTTTCTTCCAGTATTAGGGATGGAAACCAGGGCCTAATGGGTGCCAGGCAAGGGATCCACCACTGAACTACACCCTTGAGCATTTGTTTTTTCAGGTTTTAAAAATAATTTTTATTTTTTAAAAAGTAAATTGTATATTACAGGAAAAATAAAAACACAAGCAAAGAACAAAGCCATCCAGTTACAAGAAGCTTAGTTGGATGTGTCCCTCTAGGTTGTGTGCATATATACACAATATCCCATTTTGTGTGATTGAGGTTGTGGTGTATATCATGCTTTTCCACACGTATCATGAATATTAACCAATTCAAAATCCTGAAGCTACATGAGTATTTTTTGATAACCAAGAATATACAACACCAACTCAATCTGTTATCCTTTCTTGGGGACAAAAATTTTACTGAAGACAGAATTGGCAACAGGCCTCTAGATAGACATATTGGCAGAGTTACAACTAAAACAATTTATTCCCTTAATGCTCAGTTTAAAATGAAACAGCAACTGAATACACCAAGCTTGTTTCATTGCCAGATTTCTACTACTAAAATATTAGCAAGAATGCATGTTCCCAGTGAATTAAAATATTATTATAGTATAGCCAGAAGAAGATGCACATACACACCAGTGGCTCACATCAAAACGTAAATCTTTGAGCACTTGCTCCCATCTTTCCCTGTGCCCCTCTGCTGCCAGCCTAATGAACAAGTCCTGATACACAATGCTCAGAGATAAAGCAATTCCATGTCCAAGATGCATCTTTTCTATCAATTGTAACAAAAAGATATTTACAAGTTGGCTAATTCACTAGCACTACTTTTTA